GTGGTTAACGTGTGTAGTAGTGAGTTAACGGAGAAGTGTTCCATTTAAGAATGGCAGGATATTCATATCGTGAGCAGGCAGACATGATTTTTACATACGGCCGCACGTATGGTATTGAAAGCGAGGCTGCATGGCTGTATCAGATTGCGTTTCCAGACTGAAGGCAGCCGAGTTATCCAACCTTTGCTGCTTTTATCGTCGTATTGCTGTGACAAGATCCGTGGCACTACAAACTGTGGATCGAGAAAGACCGAGATCCGCTCGTACGCCTGACAAGGAAAAACACATTCAACAGGCTGTTGGTGACGATCCAAATATCAGCACACATCAAGTGGCCCTAGCATGTCGTACATATAGTACCACATGGAGGGTACTTCAAGAGCAGCTCCTGTATCTGTATCATTTGCAACGTGCACAAACTGCCGATCCGTTGTTTGTCTCTTCAGTCTTGTTTACGGATAAGGTAACATTTGGAAGAAATGGAATAACAAATTTACACAACCAACATTTGTGGCGGGTCGGATTCCCCATGATACAATACAGCTAGACACCATCATCAGTTTACGATTAATGTTTGAACTGGAATTGTAAGTGACTTCCTAGTAGGTCCATATTACGGGCGCTGTCTACAGGGCCTTTTTTTTCGAACACACCTCCAGACCTGCTAGAGAATGTACACCTGCTAATACGTAGACGCATGTGGTCCATACATGATGGAGCTCCAGCACATTTCAGTCACATTGTCTGCGATGCACTGATAGCTACCATGAAAGAAGAATAGATAGGTAAATGCCAGTTCCATGGCCCGCACGTTCCCCCGACCTCAATCCTTTGGATTTTTATCTATGGGGCCAACTAAAACAATTGGCTTGTGCAGCAGACATTAATAATGCAGAGACGCTTCATCAACGTGTCATGGGAACCTGCGAAACCGTTCGACACATTGTGGAAGTATCTGAAAGGGTATGCCAATCAATCATCCGATGGGTGTATACGTCTATAAAAGCAAGTGAGGGACATTTTGAACATTTGTTATGAGTTGGTGTGTTGAGGTACAATGATTGACTTTTGGACATATGTTTATATGGACATTCTACCTTGTTTTGGTGACGGGAACCCTCCCCCAAAGTTTGTAAAAGTATTTTGTATTGTATCTTGGATTGTACATTTAACAGCGTCTATCATTAAATTTAAAACTTAATAACTCAAAAACGAAGGATTTGAGGATATATGTTTATACAGACTTTTGTCCTTGTTTTGGTGTAAGGAACTCACCCCCAATGTTTGTAAAAGTATTTTTGATACACCCTGTATATAATACCTACAAATTTTCACTAAAATGAGTATACACGATGAAAAAATACCCAAAACTTAATAAAAAAACAAGTTTTATCGTCATAACCTTGTTATTATTTAGAGGAAAGTACCAAGTATTTTCTTATTAGAACCTTCAAAATTTTTAATTTTTTTTCTTGTGTCATAAAATTAATATGAAATTTTAGCGTCTTTTTGCGAAGAAAAGCCCATTGATTTAGAAATTCTTGCAAAAATATAATATAATTATCACCTTTTTACTTTAAACGTTATATATATGTGTGTTTATTTAAATACGTATATACATGTATTTATATATCTACTAAGTTTAGCTTTGTCTGAAGCAAAGACACAAATACGAAGTACTAATTTAGTCATTTACTTTACTTCATAACAATGATTGCGCCGGTTACCAATGGACGCTTTTCTCGGTGACGCAATAGGCCGAGATTAAAAAAAATCCGTTACTTGTAAGGAAAGGTTTTACTCAACCGCTTTTCCTATTTAAAAAAAAAATCGACTGAAAAAAATCACAGCTGAAAAATAGAGTGAAAGTTTTTCAGATGCAAAATAAGAAAAATCAATATCCAATAAGGCTCAAAGGATTTCAAAATAAATCTAATTCTAGAACAATGCAACACAGGACATCTTGTTGTTTAGAAGTCTAATTTCCTGAAAACAGTTTTAATAGAATGATTTTATAAATTTCAACCGACAACAACAACACTAACTGTTCGGTCAATGAATGACAAATATTTCCTTTACGAAAACATGGAAACGATTAATTTTCCAATTACCATTTGAAATTTCTTGCAAAATTGATTTTTAAGCACTACAAAAAACAGGTGGTCTTATATATATATATATATATATATATATATATATATATATATATATATATATATATATATATATATACAAAGTAATTGGACTGGACAAGCTATTCTTGTAAGGCATCCTACTAAATATGGTGTGGAATAATTATCTATTTTTTCTAGTCTCAGAAAAGTTTTTTATTTAATAACATCTCTTGACATGTATAAATTAATAAAGAATTTTAAAAATTTTATAAATCATTCTAATTAAAATTTTAAAAAAGAGAACAATTCTTGTAAATATTCATTTTTCACCGATTTTTTTTTTTTTATTATTAAAACAAGCATGTCCATAATATATTTTATTCATAAAAGAAATTAAAAGTATTTCTAATTAAATAATGTTTTAGTTTTATTGCATTTTTTTGGGGGGGTTACGCTTCAGAGCAGATTTTATATAACTGGGGGGGGGCTCATATTTGACCAAAATAAACTGATGGTTTAAATTCTCCTAGGATTTTATGACTGATATAAACATTAAGCGCTACAAAATTCATAAAATTAAGTAAGTTTTGGGTAACAAATATGAACATATATATTTTTACCAAGAAGAAACATTTAAAAAATAAGGGTAAGATAAAAAAAAAAATATGAAAATATTTTGCCAATTTAATTTATTTGTGAATAAATCATAAAAGTTTAATTAAAATTACCTGATTTTTGCAAGAATTTCCAAATCAATATATTTTTCAGCGCAAAAAAGTGCTCAAATACCCCATACAAATTTATGGCCCCCAAGTTGACACCAGAAAAACAAGATATTTAATCAAAATTTCGAATTTCTAAAAAGGTTTTAAAAGATATAATTTTTTTCATAAAAAATCCTTTGGCATTTTCTCATAATAATAACAAAGATTTTGACCATAAAACTTTGTTTTTATTTAGATTGGGCATTTCATTCATCATATATGCTTAATTTTAGCGAATCTGGAATACCTAATACACACACACACACGCATATATATATATATATATATATATATATATATATATAGAGAGAGAGAGAGAGAGAGAGAGAGAGAGAGGAGAGAGAGATAGATATATATATATATATATGAGGATGTATAAATTTTCATAACCTAACACATCAATATAAGCTGAGATACGATTTGAAAGTTTTACTCTATAATGTGTGATCTATGTGATTAATATTCACAAATAATTGATTTGTTAATAATAATATGCAGTGAAAAGGAGAGATATTCCATCGAGAAATAATTATTTGTTGTGTAAAACAAATGTTTTTTTATCATTAGGCCACAGACTTGTTGATGCCGCTATGCACGCACGTGTGTGTGTGTGTGTGTGCACGCGCGCGCGCGCAGAAGAACACCGTCCTAGTAAGCCCGCACCTATTGTATGCTTGTGGATCTTTGATTCACTTCAGTAGCCGATTTCTTCAAACCAAAAAGCCTAGAGATCTTCTTTTATAACCATTTACGATGAATACGGTGTGCTGCGAAGGAGAGGTGGGAATCCAGAACAGAGAAGTGAATCAAGAAGAGAAGAATAATACTGTACAAAGCAGAAAAAAAACAAGCCAAAGTCAAGGTCTGCACACTGGAAGTCGAAAAATGAGAAGGAGAAGACACAGATAGGTCGATCGAAATATATAATCATTCAATGAGGGAAATGTGTCTGACATAGTAGATCCAAGAATTACGGAGAGATAGGCGGTGAGGTGGATTTAGGAAAGAGATTGAATGAGTTAGAGATTAAAACAGAAAGAGTGTTTGAGCTAGAGAATGCAACTGAAATAAGATGTTGAGGGAGGAGAAAATAAGATGAGGTTTTAAAAGAAATGGATAGAATGTGTGAAAGAAAGAGAGTAGTAGTCAGAGGGCAAGGATCTGAAAGAAAATACATAGCAGAAAAGTGAGAAACAGTAGATGAGTTTATAGACAAAGATATGAATGAAGGAAGATGAGATTTAAAGAAAGAGAAACAATAAAATGATGGAATGAATATGAATGGGGTACAAATTAGAAGAGAAAAGAATTAAGAAAATAAAAGAAGCAAGGTTAAATGAAACCTTAAAAGGAAAAGGCAGAGAATAATGCTAAAATCTTTCAAAGAAGAAAAGAGAGCAGATTAGGGACGTAAATTATAGATTAAGAAAAAAATGACAGTCCAAATGATTGTGGATGAGAAGGCAATATAAAAAAAGAAAAAGTAGTGGAATGCGAGTAAATATTCGTAAAATGAATGAGTGAATGAAAAAAAAGAAAGCATGAATTTTGGAGAAAGGTTGAAAAATTATACCAAAGGAATAAATAAAAGGCAGATATAAAAAATGAAGTCATTAATAGAGAGATTTTACATAAAAAAGAAATAAACGAAAGAAAGAAAGTAGAAAAAAGGATAAAAAATAAATGAAATGAAAAAGAAAGAAGGAATAAATGAAATAAAGATTTTTTCAAAATAGCATGGTATGAATAGAAAGATTTTACGTAATAAAGTTTGTGGGAAATTGATGAAAAGAAAGAAAGAATAAATGAAATAGAAAAGAAAGAAAGAAATAATAAATGAAATAAAAATGAAAGAAAGAATAAATGAAATAAAAAGAAAGAAAGAATGAATAAAATAAAGAAAAAAGAAAGAAAATGGGAAGTTAATGAGAAACATATCGGGAAAATGCCTAGCAAAAAAGGAAAGAATCATTCTTGCCTATCAAAGTAGTCATAAAAGGCGTTCCATTCGCTGCCGTCGATGAAGTGTCTTTTTTTCGGATTCGCTATTTTTTCAGTTCCTCATCCATAATTTCTTGGTCCACTTGTTCTTGTCCTTTTTCGTTTTCAATCAATCGATCCAATGGCCTTTCAAGCCTCCTCACCCGACAACTGCTCCGATTTGTTTTTCTTTTATGGGAAGGATTTATTTTTATACTCGTTATTGCTTGCCTTCATCGTTCATTTCTTTCCCCAATTTTGTCTCCGTAAGTTCACATTTGCATTTGTGTGTGTGTGTTTGTGTGTGTGTGTGTGTGAGTACGTACGTACGTCTTGAATGTACGTAGTGTAAAAACCTGAAAGTGTCAATTATACACATGTATAGAAATAAAGATATATATATATATATATATATATATATATATATATATATATATATATATATATTAAAAATTTCCTCCTGTGCAAGTCAGTAAAGCTACTAAGACACAAGGGGTTACTGAGTGTGAAAGAATAAGAACAAGAGAAACATTATTAAAGAGAAAATAGAAGAGTAATTAGGAAGACAATAGATAACGATTGATACTGCATTTAAGTTTTTGAAGATCAAAGTTGTCTGGAAAGCATGGAATCGAAAGAGAGTTCCACAAGGGAGAAATGCAAGAAAATAAACTGTTAGCATAAGACTTACGGTTACGTCTAACCAATTTAAATGTAAATTGGCGAGAATTGTTGCCAATCTAGTATTGAGATTAAATTCATAGTCTAGGTACCATAGCGAAGTGTTCATTCGAACAATTACTATGACAGTATTTATAGAAAAGGAATAGGAAAGCTACATTACGGTGGTGGGAAAGTGACTGAAGACGAGATGCCATGTCAAGACCAATAATAATACAGATTCTTCTTTGGGTTTTATCAAGAATCTCTAAATATTTATCAGGAGCACCAAACAATATGTGGCAGCAATATTCAAAGCATGAATGAATGTTAGACTTATAAATATGTGTGATAGATTCGGCAGAGAAAAATTGTCTAACACGACACATTAAACCAACTTGCTTAGCAGAAGACCTAGCAGCAGTGGATTCAATATAATCTTTAAATTCCATGTCGGCCGAGAATGTTAGCCCGAGAAGGCGCAACGAGTCACTCTCATGGAGATTAGCATCAGCCATGCAGATGGGTGATGGCAGAAATCTTTTTCTCAGATGATTAATCGAGAGCAGTTTCATTCTAGAGACTTTAAAATTAACATGTCATTCCTTGCCCCAATTAACAACAGACTGTAGGTCATTTTTAGAACAGCTATCAATTTGTCCTTATCGAATTGATCAAACAGGATTAAATGTTTGTGTTATCATCATAGATATCAAGTTGAGGTCATTTTTAGAACAGCTATCAATTTGTCCTTATCGAATTGATCAAACAGGATTAAATGTTTGTGTTATCATCATAGATATCAAGTTGAGAACTGATATCATCAGGAAAGTCATTAATGAAAGTTAAGGACAAAGTAAAGTTCAAGGAAAGCCCTGGCGGACACATGCATTAGTACAAAAAGATCATTCATTCATTTCTGCCAGTATATATATATATATATATATATATAGAGAGAGAGAGAGAGAGAGAGAGAGGAGAGAGGGAGAGAAAAAGAGAGGGAGAGAAAGAGCAAAGGAAAGTAAAATCAAGCTAAGTAAACATTTAACACACACGCACGCACGCACGCACATATATATATATATATATATATATATATATATATATATATATATCAAATGTGCACTTAGTTGTGATGAATTTACCTATTCAGGAGACGATTGTAAAATATTATAATAAAAATTTTATGATCAAATCTCCTGAATATTGGGTGTAAATTCAGTACAACTAAGTAAACATTTAATATATAATTTAATATATATATATATATCGTAATTCATCGAGTGTAGAAGAATCCTCAACAGAATGCAGAAAGCACTAGACGCCCGTTTCCTCCTATTTGGGACTCATGACGGTCCGTGTTCGATTCTTGGTAATGGATGCGCAATGCTGAAGAGTCCCAAATACAACGAAAGAGCTGTCCAGTGTTTTCTGCATTCTGTTCAGGATTCTTCTAGACTCGATGAATTACTATAAATGATTATTCCAATCCCCCAAATTCCTAGCATACATCCGTGTGTGTGTGTGTGTGTGTGTGTGTGTGTGTGTGTGTGTGTGTGTGTTTGCAAATATGTAGAAAAATAGGAAACAACAAGTTAGGTAAATAATCCGGGGTTCTTTAGTATTTTTGTTTTTATTTAAAAAAAAAAAATACAGTGCTCCATACAGAAGTAGAGCTTAAATTATAACTATTTTTAAAAAATATGATTCCTTCGCTACATAAGAGTTCTCATGTTTCAAAAACAAGAGCCAAAAATCTCAATATAATTATTGAAATTAAATTGAATTAAAGTATCAAGCCCTGTTTCATCCTCAAGCGAAAATTTAGGAATATATATATATATATATATATATATATATATATATATATGAAAGGAATATATATATATATATATATATATATATATATATATATATATATATATATATAATTTTGGACATATATGGATTTGTATGCATTTATATACATGATTCATTGGTATTTGTATGCATTTATATATATATATGATTCATTGCTCAGGAAAGGCTTATAACACCGGAATATAAATAAATAATATTTTTTTAATAAGTGTTGAATAATTGGTTAGTCCGGAATTAGAAAGAATTTTTTTATATAGAATTTCTATAGAATAACTTTTCATAGTGTGCGTCAATGTACATGGAAATATACACACAGGACTAGCTAGGAAAATAAGGCCACCTAGTTTATTACGTTGGCACCAAAATCTAAAGCAGAAATTGATAGTATACCAATAGCTCATAATTCTTTTTGCTTTGTTACAGATAGCAACTTAATAAAAATGACGTCTGGCTTGAAAATGCGTACAGAGAAAAGAGTTTTATTAAACCACACCTCCTCCCCCTTGCGTCTTAGTGGCATTATTGCTTTGCTTGTGTGAAATGATAAAAAAAAACGTGTGTGTACCTGCGCGCATAAGCATAGACACTCACACGCATATTTGTGATTGTATCAATTCGTACAGATTTTTCAACCTTTGGTAGTGTTTTCCCTCTCTCTCACACACACTCACAGACACGCACACGCATACACACACACACACAAACGCCGACATCTCTCTCTCTCTCTCTCTCTCTCTCTCTCTCTCTCTCTCTCTCAGTTTGCTACTTACACTTCTTTGTAAACTTCTTTCTCTCAGTGCATTTCCATTTCTTTTGGGGGTGCTTCTTTTCTTCCACCCCCGCTGTTTTTTTTTGTTTTTTGTTTTTTTTAATTTCCTTTTTTCCTTTCAGTTGAAAAACTAATTCTATTCATTAATCATTTAAAAAATATCTTTCTATTTAATCAGTTTCTTTCATTGTTTATACATTTCAGTCAGCCGATCCCCCGATCCAGATTGTTCTTCACTGATCCCACCTTTTATCTCTATCCGCCCACACAATCTATTCCTAGAGTTCCTTCTTCTTCAGTTTGTTTGCATGGGAGGTCCTGCTTGTAGGTATTACGTTCACTGAAAAGTTCTTTCTATTTTCATGGCATTAGGAGTGATTAGCTTTTACTAATTTTATTCTAAAAGATCGCTTTTCTTAATTACTGCGTGAATTTTTAATTGCTAAAATTGACAAATATTTATTCTCATGATAAATGTACCAAAGACAGATTGAATAAACTTGAGATCCTTCAAATTGTTTTGTTAGTTTAGGTGGTTTACATTTAATAATGCGAAGAATGAATTTGAGGAAGAAGGTGGATCATAAAACTGTCATGAAGAATGAATCAACGTAAAATTGGTAAATGGCTTCAAACATCAAGGCATTATGTCCAAGTCACTCAGAAGAAGCATACTGATATTGGAATCAATTTGGTTAAGAAAAACACCAGCAGACCTTTGAAATTACAGATGAAAGAAAGTTAGGTTATTAACAGTCAACCCAAGATTAATGACTTATCAAATAATAGAGGTAAGCAACAATACTATACCTTTTCAACTTCAAAATGATAATAATCAACTTCAAAATGGACTTATTTTCAAATAAAAAAATTAATCAATTCCAAAATGGATTAATCAACTTCAAATTGGATCAATCAACTTCAAATTGGATCAATCAACTTCAAAATGGAACAATCAACTTCAAATTGGAATAAACAACTTCAAATTGAGATTTTTTTTTTTTTTTTTTTTTGGTAAATTGAAAATTAATTTACCCCATGAGTAAGAAAATTGACTGTTCGTCTTCATTATATAGATGAAGAAAAAACCAAAATACAAACAACTTAGAGGCCAAGAAAGCATTGGGTGAGCCTACAGTAAAAGTAGGAGGAGAAAGTCCCGTATGGACAAAAATGATGATTGATGATGATGCTGGAGAAACCTCTACAAAAGAAGCTGAAGAAGAATTAGCAACAGCTCCAAAGAGGACTTACCTCAAGAAAACTGTGGCTGGCGAAAAAAAGACCCAGATTTTGGCTGCACATGCCGCAGCAGGAAATTGGAAAGATCTGGCAAGAACAATTGATGTGCCTCTGCCAACAGCGTATTTTATGGACGAATTAATTGAAAACTCTCCTAGGGTCACTCTTCAAGATATTGTAAATAAGTTAGTCAAAAAGTATGACGTTCGTGTGACTCCATGGCCTTTACTTTAAAAGCGGTTCATTATGAACCAGAAGCTGCCAATAATAATATCAATAAGGCGAAACGTAAGGATTACGCAGTAGCTTTATTAGAATTTCAGTCCCAAAGTGTGCCAATTCTTTATATGGATGAAATCAATTTTAATCTCCATATTTCAAGAAGAGAAGGTCGCTCTAAAAAAGGCATGAGGTGCACTACAGTCGCGGCCGGATCTAGGGGAAATAACATCCGTGTTATTGGATGTATTAGTAATAATGGATTAATTCATCATAAAATTAAAAGAGGTTCTTTCAAAAAAGAGGATGCGAAAGAATGGACCAGGGAGTGCCTTAGAAAGGCAAATGAAATTTATGAAAGGGGTGTTGTCTTAGTTATTGATAACGCTCTTTGACATACTTCAATTGAAGAAGTTGTGGAGGAGAATGAATTTAGGCAACACCAAATTTTCAGACTTGCCCCCTATAGTCCGATGTTAAATCCCATTGAAAATGTCAGTCATTAAAGCTGACGTAAAAAGAAGTATGGCAGACTCAATTGTTGGGATTTTAAGAGGTGGTATTAGGGATCTTTAACTACTAAAAAATTCCGCCTCAGCAAGTTAGAAGCGATGATCCCCGAGGCAATTAATAATATTTCCCTGAGACTTGCACTAACTTCGTATCTGGAATACAGAGATTACTTCCCTCTGTAATTAACTTAGATGATGTAATCTTTTAAATAAATTTCTTAGGAACGTTTATATTTTTTATATCCCTTTCAAGTAAAAATAAAAGAATAAATATTAAATTTATTAGTATTATATTAATTCTCAATTTGAAGTTGATTAATCCATTTTGAAGTTGATTAATTTTTTTACCTGAAAATAAGTCCATTTTGAAGTTGATTATTATCATTTTGAAGTTGAAAAGGTATAGTTTAGTGTCAGTTCATATAATAATTATACTATGTAGAAATAATCAAGATGGATATATTGCAGCAGAAAATCAACAATAAACCAAAAGAAATCATTAACCAAGATGAAATATTATGTGATAATAAAAAATGAACAACATTGACATTTAATAATGAAAGCCAAATAGAAGTATATTCTCATATAAGAGAGTTACCCTTAAAACTAGTTGATAAAAGAAACAATCTAAGCTATAGAATGAAGATTGAAAAATTTAGTGGCTGTTATGTAATGGCTAGAGACTACATCAAAAGCAATGGTACAAAAAAATTATAAATACCGATGGAATACCAAATAGCGGAAAAATAATCCTTTTATTAAAGTCCCACTTAATTGCCAAATACAGTAGAAAGAGAAATATTTTAATCTGACGGAATACCTTGCCATACAATGAGCTTAACATTCTCACTAACAACGACATTAGAATGTTAGAAGATTTTATCCGCATTCAAATAGTGATTCATAATTTTTGCATGCCTTATTTTCAGCATCACTATGCATCCTGATCTCTATTTTCTTTTGCATTAAGTCTATGTGCATGTGAAAACTTACACCACAGTCTTGAATGACCACAGATATTACTACAGAAAGTAAATTACCAGACACTTACAACTTCTTACTAAAACTAAAAAAATTGATTTCTTAGCTGGGTGAATCATTTCTTTTGTTCGCAAAATGAACACACAATGTGAGTGTATATAATTATCCATCGCGTAACCTGATACTCCTTGCTTATTAATTTGATATTCCGTTGTTCAGTTAACAGGAGATATTAGACGACGCCAGTAGGCGAACATGGCTTGCGCTACCATAACAATGTAAGTAGTGAAAAAAGGTTGATAATGTACTGCATTTCATTTGGTGTTGGCCTTGTTTAGGTATCATCTTTCTTCAGTTTTCACCTACAGCAGATTGCGCACTAACATGAAATAGTTCTCTCTAAAGCTTTGAGTTGTCATATTTATTTATTTTCTTCAAGTCGCATCTAACACACCAATCCGAGGATGCTGAAGTGATCCTTTGTCTGTTTCACTTTATTATGCTGCTCCGCTATTTTGGTGAAGGTTTCGAGCTCGCTCACTCTGATCTGGAAACCTTTGGTTTCATATTTTCATGTTATATGTTATATTTTCATTTTATATCGGAAATTTTCCTTCTTCTTGATAGAATGCTTTCACTACGATTAATAAACAACATCTATTCTCTATTTTTCGTCGAAAGACAGCGGAGGATTATAATCAGAGTTTTGTTTGTGTATATTTAACAGATTTAAAAATAATTATTTCTAATATGTGACAATAGATACAAGCATGTTTTCTTATCTTTAATATGCACACACAGACACACAGACACACACACACATATATATACATATATCCACTTGGGTACATACCATAGAGCGACATTTGGAGTGATCACCTTGCAAGCAAGTGCAAGACTCACTAAATGCTTCATTAAAGAAAGAACATTAATTATTACGTAGAAAATACTTAGGAGAAATTCTGATAAATATTTTACCATCAATAAACAGACGTCAAACACACTTTATTATATCACCAACTTTTATAAAAGCCATACTTAAAGAATCTAAGTTCTACCTACAACCACAACTGATGTAACCTAAATTCTTTAACTCTCACACAAAAAAATCATCACTCAACATACGGACAGTACCAGATATAATAAAATGCCCAAATATTTCATCGTCTGATGAAGCTTAAATAAGAGCGAAATATGTTAAATTTATAAAGATTTCCTATCTGTTCCTTATCCTATCATTTTTCTGTCGGAATCTAATCCATATTTGATCCATATATATATATATATATATATATATATATATATATATATATATATATATATATATATATATATATATATTCTTTCTTTTAAGTCTAAGAAGTCTTAGACTTAACAGTGATGCTGTGTCATCAACGCACTGACTGCATACATAGCTATGGAGACAGTCTACAGTTTTCTGTTTCACTCTTTCAAAATAAAAATTAAATCCTCTTAATCCTTTTCATCCTTTCTATTTTCTAACCTTACCTTTTTCATTTGTTCACATGTATATCTTTTAATGTTACCAATCTCTTAATCTCAGTGATTAACCTTTAATTAGTCTCATCAACGTAAGATTATGGACACAAAATCCAGTAGTTTTTATTTAATCAACTAAATAATGAAAGTGAGTTTTTGATGTGTGGGAGGTAGACACCTGAACGGAGGGGAAGAGATGAATATACAGTTAGAGATATGGAGGGAAATAAAGAAGAAAACATACACAAAATAAAAAAGATAACATTGACATTTCGGAGAATAAATGCGTCGTAAAAACAAAGACTGTTTGAAGGAAAATAAATGCGGGAAAGAAATGGGCGGGAAAAGAACTTGAAATGAGAAAAAAAAGAAGCAATGAATAAACCATTATAATTTGAGTTGTAGATTCATGAAAGAAAGCATGCTAAAGCAAAAAATAAATGATTCTTTCATTCATCACATTTGTCTATTTTTGCTTTATTACTGATTTCCTTTTAAATTCATCTTCTCGTCTAAACTACATCTGATCATTTTCTTTTCTTTTTTTCACTTCTATGACTGCCTCTAATCACCAAACCAAACATATAACTGCAAAAAAAAATTATTGATGTTAATACAACAAAAAGCTTCCTAATATACAAAATTCATTGTAAATGTCTCTGTTTCGCCTTCCTCATATATATATATATATATATATATAGTCTTAAGTAAGTCTATATTTATGGGATAAAGTGCTCAATATCAGTGATAGAGCGTGTGTAAATATAAAAGTGAACATAGAAGTTAACACTTAGAGGCGACAGTCTGTTTCATGCTAGATGCCTGACGATTGCATCTAGCATGAAACAGACTGTCACCTCTCAGTGTTGACTTT